CCCGCGTAATAGCATTTGATCTCCAGCTGGTCGTCGACGCGGACCGTCTCGTGAAGGTTGACGGCAACCACTTTCTTCATGCAATCCTTAATCATCTGAGAGGTGAAGAAATTGGTTTCTCCCTTCTTGTCCACTGAGATCTTGCGGTAGTCCTCCAGAAGTATGGGACAAATGGCTTTCGTCGGGTGTGTCATATATATGGGTCCACCGAAGCCCACCATTTCCGACATATAGGGAAGGGCTCCGCAATGGTCTAAATGGAAGTGAGTTATGATAACGCAGTCCAAGAACTCGTTGAGCGGTCCATCGCGCGTGACGTAAGAGAAGTCTGGGAATCGACGCTAACAGTGAGAGTTAGTGAGAGAGAGAGTGATACTGAAGACATGGATGTGTGTTGTGATGGTATACCTCATCGTTGTATCCCATATGCATCCCGCAGTCAAACATCACATTTTTGGATCCGATCGATACCAATACACAACTCCGGCCCACGTCTTGACCCGCGCCTAACAAACCACACGATGACAATGAGTTGATGGCAAACATAGGGATCAGTTAGTGGTGACAATCACTTACCCAATGGCGTCACTTTAATGTCAGGCATTTGTTTGAAGGCCCACGTCTTGACCCGCGCCTAACAAACCACACGATGACAATGAGTTGATGGCAAACATAGGGATCAGTTAGTGGTGACAATCACTTACCCAATGGCGTCACTTTAATGTCAGGCATTTGTTTGATAACTGAATCAATGAAACGATTTGTAAATCAATTGAAAACACTTTCAAAACAAAAAATATTTATTTTTGTGACAAAAGTTGTGTTAAAAAGAGGGCAACACTTGTATTGACTGATAGTTCAGAATATAATGAACTGAAAAGTAAATGCACTTTCTTTTGTATATTCTGTATATTCTTGTGATTTATACTTATTTTATGAGAAATTTTTTGTTTAATTTTAAATATTTCTCAAATATTTTTTATATTTTAATAGCTTTTACGGCTATTTGTTAAGTATTTTTTCATTTAAAACGTATAATAAATTTAATATTAAGATTGAAATCACAAGAATGTCAGCGAAAATGTATATTTGATATAAAAGTTTAATTTATATTACATTTATGTTTAATGTAAAGAATATTAGAGTGCGATATATATTATACATGTACAGTATATATAGAGTATAATGTTATTAATATAACAAATATTTGTATTTAATAATCAATATTTTATATATAAATATATCTACAATTCATCTCTTTATTTAAAGCATTTTGAATTCAATAAAATATTTGTTAGTTTTTATGAAAAGTATTTTTTCCTACGAATTCACATAAAAGCCAATTATTGTTTAAATTATTGTCTATTATTTGACATCAATTCTAATTGAATGAGAGTTTCAAAGGAATAACTATTTTAATCATAACAACTGAAATCTAATGCTTTTTAACTATTATTTTATTTTAAGTTATTTTTCATATTACTGTTAGTAATCCTTATTTATATATTTTAATGATTTGTTTAAAATAAATCAAAGGTAAACGAAATATATATAACAATAGACAAAAATATTAGGAAATCAAATTAAAACAATGAATTATTAGTCAATACAGACATTGAAACAAATCAAGAATTTAAATATAATACAGAAATATTGGGTCCATTTGTTTAGGGATTAAATTTAATTCAGACATTAGGCAAACAATATCTTTGAATTTTTATAACACTTTTAATGGCGACAAAGAAATTACCGTCGATTTAGATAATGGTTGGACTCATTCTTGCGCTCCATTTAGATAACAACTAATGCTTTGAATTGATTTTATAAAACATTTTCAGATAAGTCTTTAAAACGATGTCATATTCACACAAATCAATCGCTTGTTTATATCTAAATCATTAAATTTTTAATTTTTATTAATAGTACTAATAAAGTATTTTTAAAAATGTAATTGATGTATCAAGTGTTAAGTAATTATTATAAGGCAAGTAACAAACTGTATATTTGACATTGAATTAAATTGAATTTAAATATCTGTATTTTATTATTGTTAATATAATGTTTAATTAATTATAGAAAACAAATTAACAAACTTTTTAAATTATATGATATAATTTATATCGTTGCTTATTATTTCGTATATTTTAATTGAAAAATTGTTTAAAAATTTATAAATTAATTAGTTTTAGAATAATATTAATTGAGATTTTAATCAGAATTTTCTAATTAAAGAGCAAATTATTTCATTATATTTAAATTATATATGAATTCAATCAAACATTATTTGCATTTCGACAAAACATTAATTAATTTATCAAACAAATGGCAAAAACAGTTAATCAACTATTAATTAATATAAAAATTCTTTGAGATTTGTTTGATTTGCAGTAAAATTGTTAACAAATAATAAGGAAAACATTATTTTCGTCTCATTTCATATAATTTCAAGACTGATTGAAATGAAAAGCCATCCAATATTTCTCTATTTCTATTAATGTTATATTAAATAATTTATTAGATTTTGTTTATCTTTAAGTCATTTCCGTTCGCTTTCTCTCCATTTCCGGTCATCTTTGAAAGCGATAACCGTTTTGTCCATTAGAGACACATTGAGTCCAACAGTCAATACATGTGAGACATAGAGAGAAGCTGTGGAGTCGATGACGACCACCAAAGAGTGGAGTTAAGGATTACTTTATTTTATTAAATACAATGCTATCGTGTTTTTGCTTAACAGTTAACTCAAATACCAGTCATTTTAATCATTTTCGTCAGCCATTGTCTCATAGACTCTGATGACCGCAAACCTCTATATATATCGCTTATCAGACAATACACACAGAATATACGGTTCAGTTGTCTCTCACTTATTAAACTCGTGACCGATATTTCATTTATCAATCGTTTGGATGATAGAAAAAATGGTTTAATCAGTGGTTCAGACATTTAGACAGTTATAACTCAATGAGAGAAATAAGTCTATCGATTAGATTCCTCTCTAAAGTTATCATCATTTGAGTCACAAAACAAAATAATAACATTATTAATGATTATTTCCATTCGCAATACATTGGCTACAAATCTATGTTCGCTTTGTTTTCTATTATTATTATGATTACTATTTATTGTCGTCAAACAAATCATATAATAATCCCAACAAAAAACGAGACTCTATTTAATGTAATTTACGAAATTAAACCTCAATATACTGTTTATAGAGATAACAAGAATTGTATAATTCATACAATTGTTGGCCACAAAAAGTAGTCCAATATTGTCAACACATTATCATAACTACAAATTGAATCAATAAAATGTATATTAAAGATGAGATTCAATTAACTCATCGATTCGTTTGCAATACACCAACGATTCCTATCATATGATTGTCAGACACTTTATTTTGTGGCAAAATGTTTAGCAAAAGGATCGCCAGATGTTATGTAAGAGAGGACTCTTGACTTATATTATGTGTCAACTGTTTCTACATTAAGGAGTCTATCAATTGATAGTCTCATCCTCTCTATTGAATCGCTTCTGGAAATCAATATCTTATATATAAATGACTTTAAATTTGTATCTATTATTATGTCATTTATATGGATTATAAACTTCTTATTTCTTTCTAGTATTACAAATGTGATTATTTTTGTTTCAAAAGTATAAATTTTGTAATTACAATGTATCTCTAAAGTAATGTACTAATTTTAATTTGCACTTGAATTAAATAGCTTTGTAAATAAGCATGTTCATCAATTAAAACAATCATTATAAATTATAAATGAACGTCATTATCTTACGTCAGCACTTGTTTACATTCAAATATATATCTTTAAAATTGAGTTTGACGTGTAGTGTATGTCTTGATTACAAAAATTATAATTACTATTTAAATTCTATCAAATTTATGAAAAATATTTACTTTTAATACATTAAACATAATAATTACATAAATGGTATTAATAGGAATAAAATTTTAATTTTGTTTTCAACATAAAAGTTGTCTAAAAACTTGTTGATTTGAATAATATTTATTATTTAGATAATATATTAAAATATTATAATAATTTATTTATTTAGTTTTAATGGTATTAGAAATTCAATTTAAATTGAATACATTTATTACGATATTTTTCCAATGAAGGGTAGAAATAGTAAATTAATTATTTAAGGATTAGTCCCATAATTATACAGTATTTTAGTTGAAATAAATTTGCATTAAGTTTGAAAGTAATATTTGAGTGCAAAATAATATTTAATAATTGGATCTAATTATTGTTTGTTTTGCTAAAAGTAAGAGTCATTTAAATAAATCCATTTCTGAAAGCAATGAATTAATAAAACTAATAACAAATTACATACAGAATATTATTATTATTATTATTCCATATTAATTATTAATAAGGCTTAACATATTAAAAAGATTTTGATATATGATATATTGAAATAAATATTTGTTTTGCTTTCGCAATATCTCGAAGAAAATGCATTATATTAGTCGATATCATAATTTCAATTCTGGATATTTATATTTGACTTTTGCCTCAAAATGTCATAAATATTAAATGCATTTATTATTTTGAATCTTATATTTATATATTTCACATTTATTTTGAAAATAACCCTATTTTCTGACTATATTTATATGCTTTTAAACTCAACGAAAATTGATTTCTTAAACCGAAAGTGTTATCAAATTTCTGATTCTTTAAACAAAACAAAAAGAAAACAAAAATTTCTATCATTTTTATTATTATTGCACACAAAATATAATAGCATTTCAGTTCATAGAAAACTTTATACCAATTCTTTCTCTCTCTCTCTCTCTCTCTCTCTCTCTCTCTCTCTCNCTCATAAAATAAGTATAAATCACAAGAATATACAGAATATACAAAAGAAAGTGCATTTACTTTTCAGTTCATTATATTCTGAACTATCAGTCAATACAAGTGTTGCCCTCTTTTTAACACAACTTTTGTCACAAAAATAAATATTTTTTGTTTTGAAAGTGTTTTCAATTGATTTACAAATCGTTTCATTGATTCAGTTATCAAACAAATGCCTGACATTAAAGTGACGCCATTGGGTAAGTGATTGTCACCACTAACTGATCCCTATGTTTGCCATCAACTCATTGTCATCGTGTGGTTTGTTAGGCGCGGGTCAAGACGTGGGCCGGAGTTGTGTATTGGTATCGATCGGATCCAAAAATGTGATGTTTGACTGCGGGATGCATATGGGATACAACGATGAGGTATACCATCACAACACACATCCATGTCTTCAGTATCACTCTCTCTCTCTCTCTTTCACTTAAAAACATGTCTTTATATAAAACTAAGCGTTAGTTTTATAACAAACAAAACGAAAAAATATAATAAAAAGTATTGAGTATTGAATAGAATTGACACAAAAAACTAATCAATTCTTTATATATTGAAATAAAATTCAAAATAAATAAATATTTTACAAATAAAATACTTGAAGTTAAGTTGAGTTTAAGTTTAATCAAATTTTTCCCTTCACTTCTCTTTTTATATTATAGTTTTTCACTTAATCTTTATGTTATTGAAAAACGAGCAGAAATTTGACAAAAAAGTTTAA